CAGAGAGTGAAACAGAACAGATAAGGAAACTTCTCATTCTCCGTATTCTCACAATCCCTTCCCCTACATTAACCAGCTTCAGACGGGAGAATACAAACGTACGCCGGGGAGCAGAAGCACACAGCCTGCGCCGCTGTCCCCACGAGACGCAGCATGCCTGCAATTCAAAGGAAGCGCCGCGTTCTGCTCACGAAGAGCGTGGTTCCTGCGTGAGGAGCCCTGCTGTTACAGACCGAAGTAGAAGCCTCACCTGTGCGAAGCCGCCTTCTTTGGTGCAAACTCGTATTCTTCTGGATACCAGCGTCTGTAAGCAGAAAAAAGTGCCACTTAAAAAGGGAAACTGGGATGCAAAACCACGGCCGGTGGCTGCAGCGGGTTCGTTACAACCGGGGAAAGAATCTGGGTTTCACCGGCGTCCAGAGAAGCCACAACCCTGTGAGTCGCTGCGCTGCCACTCAGGGAGTACTTGACGGCTCACCCTGCGCATCCGCCCCGGCAGAACAGAGGAAAGGAGGTGGCGGCTGCCGGCAGCCCTCTCCCATTACAGCAGCCTTTAACCTCGTTTTAGAAGAGCGCACGTTAGCGCCACTTAACAGGCTTCCCTAGATTCTCTTTCACACAGCTACTTCATTTGGGGAAGGTTTACCTGCAAAGTTCTTTGACGGTGCTCACGTCAATGATCCTGTAATGAAGATGCCTCATGAACTGAGGCATGTATTTGTCGAGAAATTTCTTATCGGCGTGAACAGAGTTACCTACAAAGACACGAAATGAGACGTTTCTTCAAAGACATTACAAAGCTACTATGAACGACAGCTAAACGAGAAGCAGGCTAAGCGAGCTGGGGAAAGATCATAGGGTAAGAAACGCTATTCACAAGCAGCTCGTTTATCCCCTTTTGCAGTAAATATGATTGTAAGGGTTTGCCAGATTTTCATGGCAGGATCACACGCGGTTTCAATACGTAATCCTGCTGTTAATTCTCCAGTTACTGCTCCTGCAATTTCTGTCGCACAGATAAATACCAAAGTATTATGCAAGCATCGGGTTTTCGCCAAGTGAAAATGGGCGTCGGTATTAATTTCACGTAGCACCAGTCCCGAGGCCGTACGTGAACGTCCTGAACGTAGTCGCAGGTAGCAGGACATTTGGACAACGCACAACTGGCATTTTGCTTGACACAGTGAGGAAACGACGCCGTTGGGTTTGCTGCTCGGGCTTTACGGTCACAGGTTGCTGCCAGCAGTTCAGGCGCCTGCCCCGCTTATAACTGTACACAGAAACATTAGTGCAAAAAAGGAATTGCAGTCTCCCGCAGTAATGACGCGCAATATTTGCTTGAGGAAATCTGCAGAAGGGACAATGCCGTTACTGAACCTCTCCTTACTAAACAGGTTTTGATTTGTGTGCCAGATCTCAGCATAGAGAACTAAAGCATCCCCGCCACGTGCAGCAGTGGGCCTTTGGCGTCCAGCTGGGAGCTGCAGGAGGGATGATGCTGCTGTTATTAAGAAAGAACTTTACCTGCGAGAGGACAGAGACCCGGAGGCGTCTGTTGTCGTACAAAGGACAGAAACTCATACTCCGCTTGCTGCAATGAAATTTTACTCTCCTTCACAGCCTTAGTAAGGCCAGACTGCAAAAAAAAGAGCCATGCATCACAAATCGGGAATACGCTGCCGTAAAAGACACCTCCAGAAACGCTCAACAGCAGAAGGGCAACCCTTCGAGTACTGTCTGTTCCCCGCTGTGCCCGGAACCGCCAACCGAACGCTGTGTTTCAGTGTTCCGGGACATCCCCTTGCCTTTATTCCCTCCGGATATCTCCACCAGCAGGCCCGACTGACGTGCAGGGCGCTGCTCGGGAAGTGAAAACAAGACGAGTAAAGGCAACCACCACATAGTCCTAACGCCACCAACGCTCCTGGGGTTTTGGTTTTTGGTTTGTTTTTTTTCTTTCCCAGCTGCTGTACTTTCTAGGGGTTCTTCTCAATTACCGAGACATCACGCAAGCCTCGTTTATATACCTGTACGTACGTGATCCAGGAGACTATTACATTTCTTTCTGCTGAAGGAGAGGCATTCTTCTCCCCACCGCGGAGCAGTAGGTATAAATAAACAGGAATAATCAGGATCCCGGCTGAAGTGTTTATCAAGATTCCTATAAATCAGAAAAGTTCCTTCCTTCTTTTTTTTTTCCATAGTGAAATGTCAAATCTGCTCCAAGTGTTCTCAGTGATTTATTTCCATCTGGCTACACTATATATTTCCACGACTGTGCCGCAAAAACCTACTTGACAGATCCAAGTGGTGGTTAAAAAATTCATTATGTGGCTGCATTTTCATCTGTATTCTAATTGCTTCTCTTTTCTTAGTCAATTAAAAATAAGTAGCTCCTCAGGAGCAGCGATAACGAATGCTACCATCTTCAATTCACTCGTGAGTTGAAGCCGGGTTTGAGCCCTCAACTGGAGAAGGGGAAAAGCACCATCACGGTAAATTAATATTCATTTTCCAAACTCTTGCTAATCCTTCCCGGGGAGCGTGAGATGCCGAAGGGGAGGGGAGAGGAGGGGTTACGGGTGTCTTAAAACTTCAGCCTTTAACTGAAAATTAACTTGTATTTCAATTCGTAATCAGGGATTGAAAACTCCATTCGCCTTCTCGCTGCTGGCAAGGAGGAAGCTTTCTTCGGTGGCTCAAAGAACTAAAAATAATCTCTCACTGCAAAAGTTAAGCTTTCAGTAAAAAAACCACACTAGGCTTAAAGAGCCGAGGGGACAGGCACAAATGACAGCCTGATGTTTACAGTAAATTGGCCTGTTTAGTTCTCCGAATATCTCAATTTGCAGCGATAAATTTGCACTTTGTCGATTCTGGACTATCCTTCACTGATCTCACGCCTGCTCTCAGCTGGGACTGCAAGTCACATCGTCCCCTTCTCTGTCAGAATTATTCTTTGGATTATTTTATGCTACACAGAACTCCAGGCTTCACCAAGGACCCATCAGGAGTCCCTCCCACCCGGCCTACAGCCGTGGCTCCTGCAGGGGCAGGCCACGGCCGACAGCTCCGCCAGCAGACCGGCGAGCCAGACCCGACGTCTTAACCTCCCGCAGAGACGCGGGATGCTGAGCCTCCCCTTCAGGAGATGGGAACCAGTGGCAGACATCGGAGCGACGGATCCGGTTCCCAGGCCCAGCGACACACATCTTGCCCTGCCTGCAGCTCTCCCGGGAGCTGCTGCTCCAGGCACCTCAGGGGCCGTTCACTAGCTGCCGGGCTTTGAGGACGCTCCTGGCTCTCAGGTTAAAAAGTAGCTTCCAGCACTGTTCCGAGTTAGGAAAAGCCGGGCTCCAAAGCACAGGCCACTTCGGGGCAACCTTGCAGCTGGGATACAGGATAAAGACTAGAGATACAGGAACGCAACCCCCAGCCGTGCCACGGATGAGTCACAAGACCCGGGGCAAAACGTTACGCATCAGCTCCTCAGTACAAAATAAGGATGATACTTAGTGTCTCCCACTCTTTAACTCCTCTGTTTGACTGCAACCTGTTCAGCATGGGAGTTGTGCCTTTTGAGGCGACTGTACTGCAACTAATAATTCTGAATTATACGTCACTCTCATCGTTGCAAAGAAAGAGAAACTGCAGCACGACCGCTCTAGAAGGGTTACCTTCCCGTGATGCTCCTTGCACCACTCGGACATGCCATCCAGCAGCTCGTCGGGCTGATTAATGATGAGGTTAGGGCCCTGGCGGGAAGAGAAAGACACCGAGGTAACCAAAACGCGTTCCCTGCCACGCAGCCACCGCCACGGCTCCAGC